GAGTAGCGGGCGTCGTACCCGAATGTTGCGTTCCTGAGGCGTTATTGCACCAGTAGACCTTTCTTGATAGCTGGTGTTACTTACAGCATGGTTGTGGCTGTCTTGAGACGAAGTCATCAGTGCACTTTGTTGCAGCAATTCGTCTTTTCTATTGTCGATCTTATTCAACCACTGTATGACAGCGACTTCCAGCATGTTCGATTCATTTTCCAGATGCTTGTTCAAAACCACAGGTCAATAGCTTGAGCTAAGCATTTGTGTTCCCCAATCAAATGGAGGAATGCAAGGAATACATCAAAGAGAGAACTTCGATGCTGAACTATTTGGGATTCAGACGTCATGCTGAATCTTCCCCTTAAGCAATTATCGAGAACTGTTCAAGCAGATGGATAAGCTGTAGTACTGTACTACTTGCACCGAGCCTTAGCTCATATTCATGCAGGGAACCCGTTTCGCTTTCAGCACTGTATCCGCCCCCTTTAGGAGAGCTCGGTCTGTATATCTACTTCCTCGTAGTTCAACCTTCACGCTTCTGCAGCAGAAACCTCGGCACCAGAAACTTTGTACATCTCGTCACTCGCATTTTGCCAGTTCTGGTCATGCAATTTGAGGAGGGCTTGGATCAGGAAGGCTTGGATCTTCGGTGATCAGGAAGCACCACTCCGAAGGAAAAAGTAGCCGGAGAACTGCGACAGTTTACAATAACAGCGAACTCTGCGAGATTAACGCGGGGAGGAATTTTCCTGATATTTTCTCGCCTATTTGTAAAGTTGTTTGTATTACACTGAGAATGTTTTGATTGTGTTTTCTTGAAAATAATTTCAAAGTAGCCGAAATATTCTACTAACAACAAAATGGGTTTCTGCTGCAGAAGCGTAAAGGTTGAACTACGAGGAAGTAGATATACAGACCGAGCTCTCCTAAAGGGGGCGGATACAGTGCTGGAAGCGAAACGGGTTCCCTGCATGAATATGAGCTAAGGCTCGGTACAAGTAGTACAGTACAACAGCTTATCCATCTGCTTGAACAGTTCTCGATAATTGCTTAAGGGGAAAGATTCAGCATGACGTCTTAATCCTCTGAAAAGATTGAGATGGCTCAAGTTATTGGCCGCGAGGCGTCTATTGACGCTTTAATGACGGACAACTTTTGTATCGACCATAGCCATCATTCTGGGTTGCTTCAAGAATAGCTGAGTGAGCTTTCTGCTTCTCTACATATTTCTCAGAACTAATGAAAAGGATGAAGCCTCTAAACAATCCTACTTTTAAGGAGGTTCTCCTACCCTCAACATCCTCTTTTTGATTGGGTATGTGGCCCATACTTTCATATGTCTAGTTTGCTAAATTTACAACCTCATCGACGCACGAGCTTCAAAAAATCGTCCTGTCTTGTACAGTAACATGCCATCTGTTGGAATGCCACCTGTGTTCCTTACCGACAAGGGATAAAAATTTGTGGTTCAGAGAGCTATACTCCCTTATAAAGTGAAGAGCCAACTAAATCAGAAGCATGTAAAAATTTAAGGATGTGTCCAGCGTGTCATCGTGAATCATGTGAGCAGCAGGTGATCCGATGACGAAGCTACCGCCCCCTTTTCCTCCATTCCTCAACTTATTTAAACCTTCCACCCAGTTTTACCATTCACATATCACATTTTCTTGAACAACTCCATCTTTAGGGCCTACAAAGGGGTGAGTCTTGTCAAAAGTTTCGTTACACGAGTGTCTAACTCTGACTCACGACGAGCTTTCTATGCAAATGTTTCCTGCTCTTTGGGTGTAATAATCAGAGAGCGCTCTCTCCATTGATCAATAGTTTAGCTCGACTCTACGAATCAAATTGCAAAGCTCTATACTCGGAAGTTATACTCGTGTCTGTATTCGTCTGAACTCTAGCCAAGGCTAAGATGGCCAGCTCAGTGGCTTTATGGTTGTTTGTCGTGTCACATGTGTGCTCGACGATAAGCGCAGGTGACTCGTTTCATGACTCATACCTTCATTCTTTTCTCAAAATTAATTAGGCAAGATAATTTCGGTCTTGTAGTTTGATATCAGCCATATACCATGCACCTATACATTTGATTTTGAAGTTTAAAGGCACAGTTCACGATGGAAAAATTTTTGAGGTTTTCATTGGGATGAGCCTGTGTTGCTCATGGATATCACGCTGACGGGTTGAAAATTAGCTCAGTTATTAAGGGCCTCAGAAAAGGCTTAGCTGGTACACCTACACACTTTAATGACTGTCGATAAATCGGAAAAGTTGAATGACGTCTTAGGTCTCATACCCTTTGCTCTTTTTGCTTTTTTGCGGATCATGCTGAAATCTGGGCGACCTTACGAAAAACTGAATGCCCATCATTACTCTTGAAAATTTTCCTACTTATTTGAAGTTGGGATGAAAAAAACTTTCCTATTTTTCCTCTTGAAGTGTTATCTAATGAATCAGTAAGCCCGGGTATTGTTGTCTCCGTGGGCGTTTTGGACCAAGAGTCAGTATCTGATGGGAAAACCTTTTTCGCTGATGAGAACAGCCTTTCCGCACATATGGGACGGTCCAGTATCCTTTTTGCTTTTTCCCCTTACTTTTTCCGTTGCCTTTTCCTCTACGTTGTTGGGCGTGTTCTCCTTTTAGGCTTCAGGCTTTACCATCAAGCTTCTTCCTTTTCTTCCTTCTTCCTTTCCTTCTCCCTTTTCTACTTTTTCTAGATGTTGAGGATTATCGCCTCATGGTTTCCGCTTTTGCATTCTATGGCACTAAGCTGGATGTATTGGAATAAATAAATAGAATTCAATAAGTACAAATAAGTACCAATTCCCCAGGATCCATTTCATTACGAGTCAATTGCTTTTATTGGCTGAAAATTATTTAAACTGAAAAAATTGATTTAAATTAGAAAAAAAATTACAGAAAATGTAATAATATAATATGTGATAATAAATAAATATGAATATAATAAATTAAACAAATGATAAATAACAAATATAAGAAATAAATAAAGAAATAACGACGCTGAATAGTTCCCTAAATGAAAAAATGACTTGCTTGCAATGACAACTATCGAATTTTGATAGCTTTTTTTTCCCAGACGATTTGCCATCAGTTACGTTGAATGCCACCGTGGATGCATCGCTTTCCGTTGACGTATGTGTGAATGCTAACAATGCGAACCCATCCGCGCACTCAACCTCTTCAATTACGGTAAATCAGTCGCCTTTTTTTCTTACTTCATTATCCATTTATTATATTTATATCCATATTTACGAGAAATGTAACAGATTCTCGCTAAAATTTACCACCTTCGATTTTGGCTCGCTTTCACTGGTACAATTGCATTTGTATTTTTCCTTTGGGAACCAACTATTTCCACACCCTATGTCTACATGTTTTTCGAATTCATGGACGTCTTTTGCTATTCATTTTTTACCCGATATTAACAAGAGTTATTATTAATTAGAAAGCAAGATAGTGGGGAAAAATTATAAATCTTGGGGTAGTGAAACAAGTGGCACCGCTACCACAATTCCCAAACTACAGTGGACGGTATGGGAACCTAAATTCAGGTCGAGTCAGAAGTAAAGTGATCCCTCCCTCCTTTTCGTTCTCTACAGATTTCCTATGAGCAACAGAATCCTCTCAAAAAATACGAAAATGTATGTGCCTCACCCCTACACATCGCACAGTCAAATATCTTTCATATGTCGTTGTGATTTTGAACTGTAGGCAACTGCCTGGCCTAATCCCTGAGTGGTTAGGCGCTGAAAATTCTCTATTTGATTCATCTAGCTTCGATCATAAGCAAAGGAACGGAAATGACAATATGGTTGCATAGACATATGCATGTAGAGTAACCCCTGCCTCCATTGGCAGTGAAAAGAAGCGGCCCATACTGGTACACGAGAAAGATCTCATATCGGTCTGAAGACGTGTTGTTTAAAACACGAGCTGTTTTCCAGAAGTTAACCTCAAGCTTTCCAAACACCCATGAAATTCTTCAAGTAACTTCGAACGGCCAGAATTTTTGTTACCATTTCATAATAGCTGAATGCGGGGGCGAATTCTCAGACGGGATTGATTAGGGCTCGAAAACTTTATCATTTTATATTTTTATTTCAAGATTTTAGAGCTGTACGCATAGCTATTTCAAATTTCGGATTATTTTTACGAAAAATATTTTCAGGGTTTCAAAATTTATTTCACAAGGAACTCTATTGTTTCCGCTGAAAAGTTTCGACAATGGCAAAATGTGGAAGTGCTCACTTCACAGCCTCAATACTGTATTCGTCTAGATGGTACGTGAAGGACATCAATCTTTTTCAGAACGAAATTTGCTGTCGACGTCCCTTACTCTTTTTATTACAAATGCCTGCATACCAACACATTACACTATAGGTCATTTGTCAGTTCTCCTCTGTCCGAGCAAATTTGCAGCATTTCTGAGATCGTGGAACCCTACGAATCCTGAGCGAGCATAACCTTAATTTACGGTCAGGGCCACGTGGTGGTGCCACCATAATTCATTCTGAGATTGTACCTGACGTAATTTCAGTGACACGAGACACTTACTTCTGTTGATTCACAGATCCTCCGAGATCACGTGTAGCGAAAGGGCGGGTCCATGTCGCATCTACACGATTGAGAGCAATAGATTCATGATTTAGTAGTCAATAGTGATGGAGCAAGTGGAAATGACGTAACAATGGGCCACCTGACTGCTTGTTTGACCGGGATCCATTCAAATTAATTATTCGACGTAGGCTGTGGTCTAGGAAGATCAGTCGTAGGAACAACTCACATTGTTTTGAAGAAGTCGTTTTAAAAGGCAACTACGCATTCAAACGTTTTTTCAAACCTGATTGATGGTCGAATGCATGGCGGGTCTCAGATGAATGCGCACGTAATGAGTAGCAAAAAACGATTAGCGAAAACGCAACCGATTATGAGCCATCCTGCCCTCTCATCACTCCCACTCTCTATGAAGCTTTGGATGTTCAGCACACAATTACGACATCAAACCTTCTACAGTATACCGATTGCGGGCTACGGTATTGATCAATGAAGTTGAGAGTTCTCCATCACGGCTTATTCTACTGAACACAAGAGAAGCGGGTGAGTACCATGTCAAGACCATAAATGATTTGGTAGGCAGCTGAAGAAAAAATCTTTCGTGTTAAAGGCACAGTTCATGATAATTTCGGGTTATCTAGTTTTGGACGACTAATGGAGGTGACAGTGCAAAAGTGGAGAAAAAACCCGAAAATCGGCGCATTTTGAGGATTATAGGGCTTCGAAAAAGTAGTATAACAAAGGGTTGGAGGAGAATGTGACGACAAAAGTTGTATGAAGGTGTGTTCGGAAGT